TTTGCTATTTGCGACTATTCGCTATTCGCAATTCGGGTTTTCCAGACACCCCCTGAAGCAGTGACGAGGAAACAAGCACAAAGTGTTTGTTGTTGAGAAATTTTTAGTTTTGTATTGGATCTTCTGCCTGCAGTTTGAGTAGCTGTGCATTTGGAAAATTTTACCTAATATTTTTCATGCCATCAAACTGTACTTCCAGGGCTGTGCTCTAGAAGTGCCCGGGTGCCACAGGTGACTAACTTCTGCCTTTGGGCGACTGGAAAAACTTACTTTTTTCATATAAGCTGAAGTGCTGGGCACCTCTAGGCCCCTAGTAATTCTTCTTGGAACACAGCAATGACTTTTAAAATAAATCCATATAGAATTGAGGTTAAGCTTATTCCTATTGCTAAAATTAAAACATCTACTAAAGTTTATTTGTATCATAGTAAACTTAAACAAGGTGCTTAATGATCGGAGAACTTATCACTTCCTCACTAAAAGTCTGCTTTCCTAGCTGGTTCTACAACTACATGTAAGCCAAGCTTGTGTTGTATTGCTTCAGGAGAAAATGGCATTTGGATGTTTAGACAAACAAAGTCCTAAAACCTAAGGAGGGAGATAACACGTACAAGGGTGAAGTTACTGAAAAMAAGAAGAMGCTTTTGGYTCCTGCCATTTTGAATTCTTCCACAGTTTAGAGTAGTCTGCATGTAGCTGTACCAACCCTTGTAGGGTAATTTTGATTGAATGTTGATCACTGATATCCTTCGACACTCAGTGTATGACATCTGCAGATTGCAGACTGTAGACAGCAGACTGTAGACTGGAGATTTTTAATCCAATATTGTACTTTCATTTCTTTTACCGAAAGCTAACTGAAAACAAGCTAACCTGAGCACTATTCAGGCTAAACTGAGCGCTATTTAGGGCTAAGTGTAGTCTGCAACTGAGGTCTGGAAATATTATACACTGGTTGACACTCTATTGTGGTTGCCTTTGGTACACATGATCATGGTGTATGACATTTGCAGACTGCAAACTGCAGAATTTTTAACTAATGCAGCTATCAGTGTTATGCCCAAGGGGGGAACCAAGGGACGAGGTGGGCACTTTGAATGTCTGTGTGCACCCTACGTGGGGAATTTTAGCAAACTTTGACATAAATGTTGGCCCCGGGATCGGGAAGTTTGAACAATGCTAAAAAATGCTGGCCCCAGGGTCGGGAAGTTTGAATAATGTTAAAATGACGAAAGCGACAAGGGTTTTGAATGCGGGGAGCTTGAACACAAGTGTTCCACCATCTTGAAAGTACCCAGAATTCCCAGGAGTTCGAGCATGTTTTCCACGCTAAGATAAATTCCAGTTGCAATAAACTGGAAGAACGAAAGGTAAAATTAAACTTTTTAAATTCACTGAAGAGTACTGCACTTTGTTGAAACTACAGCAAGAGGGCCAATAATGGCTTGAAGAAAGAACCAAGATGAACTTTAACGTTCATAATTGAAATTTTTAGATTCTATGAAAAACTAGAATGACAGTACATGTTGACTCTAGAATAGTGAGTGGTAATATTTTGGGGCTTGTGAATTCATCAGCTGAGTGCAAATTATTAAAGAAAACAAAGTCAAATTGAAGCTTGTTTTCGCAGCTTTATTAGTATATAAATTTTATACATAAAGAGAGCAGAGCCTCCCCACTGCCTTTCACTGGAGCAGCATGATCAATGAAAAAGTCTTGTCAAATGCAAGCACATATTCTTTACTTCAGATGGCTTGAAATTCTCGGTCTGGTGGGTAACTTAGAACTCAAAACCTTTTCCCAAGGTGAGGAACTTTGAATTGAAATCTTATCCCAAGGGTTAGGAAGTTTGATTCCAAATTTTTGTTTCTGATCAAAGTCC